TGTTGACAATTTCTTCTCTCCTCTGTTTCCCACTCTTCCTCTTATTGGCGTATTTCACCTTCTGAGCAAACTCCATTCTATGTTGATGGTATTTATGCTTCCATATCAATATACTTAACATATCTTGGTTTTAAAGAAAACCATGTTTCACTCTTACGACCAGTGCAGCATCCCCATGCTCAGGTGATCAAGATTCAGACAAAATTGTCAACAATGGGAAAGCCAGATTCACCCCCGTGTTATTAGCAGCTGCAGTAACAGATATTTTGGGCTCAATTGTGGTCTCAGTGATTAGATGACGTCTGTAAATGCCCTATGCCAAATAAATACATATAAATAAATCCCAGCCTCTGGTCAGCCTGTCCTGAAGCAGAAGTTGGGACGAAGCCACTTACTCTCCTCATCGAAGGGCACCGGGCGGCAATAAACGACCAGCTCTGACAGCTCCAGGGCAATCTTCTTCCTCCGTTCCATGATCTTCCCTTCCTGCATCTGAACGTGATAAAGACAGACCTTCATCAGGAGACTTCTGGAGAGCATCTATCCCACCCCGCCGTACACAGGGACACATACAGACAGCAATGATGCTCCCAACTGTCAAGCATCGAATTTTGCTTTTGCCATTTCGGCCATTTTCGATTCTCAGCTTGCCAACCACCCAAGGGGGGTGGAGGGAGAAGAATAGAATGTAGACTCTCATGGGAACCAAGGACACTTCAGCAGGGGTTTGCCAGAGCCCAGAAGACTTTCTCATAACAATATTAAGAAACACAATTGGACAATGTGACCTAACCTAATAAGGGGAGGGAGAATCTATACCTTAACTCAGTGTTTCTCAACCTTGGCAACTTGAAGATGTCCGGACTTCAACTCCCAGAATTCCCCAGCCAGCATTCGCAGGCTGGGGAATTCTGGGAGTTGAAGTCCGGACATCTTCAAGTTGCCAAGGTTGAGAAACACTGCCTTAACTATACGGGTTTGCACGGGAAATAGCTAGATCTGGTTTTGCTTTCGTATGTGCCAAAATGATGTACTCAATAAAGTTTTGCGTAAGGAGATTGGATCGTCTCTTGACGGGCCTGTTTCGCTTGGGTTCATTAGTCAGAACCTCGACACCAACATATTGTTATTCCGCATTAGTCAAGAGTAAATTCTTCTCCCAAAGAAGAAACCAACAATGACCTCATGACCTGAAGATAAAAGGATTGGCAAGTATTGAAGGATCCTAGGGATGCCTTGACCAATTTCTAAGACAGACTCTTAAGACCCAGGTTGTGCCTGATCTGGATAGTAAACAAGCAACGTCCTACTTAATACTACAGTTTAATGCCAGGTTTTACATATTGTAGGTTTTACATATTGTACAACTGTAAACTACAGTTTAATGCCAGGTTTTTACATATTGTAGGTTTTACATATTGTAAGCTGTAATTGGCAGCCATTTTCTATTTACTACCCTGGAAATTTACCTCTGCTTTTGTTAAAGATTTATACCGTGTATGGGTTCTGGGAAGTCGGGGGAAGGAAGACTG